TGATCCTTAGGCTATTACCTACCTTCTGTTAAATTTCAAGTCAATCCGCGCCGCACGAAAAAATTGCGAGGTGAAATGCTACATTTCCTGGACTATAACTGGTTTGACAGCATAATAGTAGATTTATGTGTAGCTTTCAATTTTTATGAGTTCAGAATCCAGCAGCCCACTGAAGTATGGGATTTTTTATAATATAATTATTTGACAATCTTTTGTTGGCCAACCAGCTACAGCAGAATTGAGCCGAAATACATTATATTCCTATGTTCCGAATTTATTTCGTTCAATCTGTATATATATATATATAAAGTATTTAGGTATTATTGACTGACACGTTATGTAAAATAAAGTTCTATTTTGAGGTTGCAGTCATTAATAGGGCAGGATACGAAGTAAAACTCTTTGTTCTTTTATCAAGCTTTCGCAAAATTCATTTGCTCCTTCAGGATATGCTAAAATATGGTATCAATAAATAAAATGAAATTAGAACTAAAAAACATTGTATAAAACTAGTATAAAAACTTACAACATGAGAATAATCCATTAAATTTTTAAATTCACAAAACATTAAAACTTAACTTATTTAAATTATATATTTATATAAGTAAAATATTTTTATTTTATTTTATTTTGTAGAAATTCATTATGACATTGATTATTATTTTGATGTTTGATTTATGTCAGGAAAACACTTGTTTCTGTTTATTATATTTTTTTTTTGTTGATAACTAGATCTCCCTCGGGAAATTTTGTATATTTAAGTAGTTCTTAAGTCTTTTTTTAATAGATTCCGATCTCTTGTGAAGTGCAGAAGTGTGTCAAGATATAACATAGGGTGTTTAGCGATTTTGTTTTTTTTTTGCTTTATATTTTAAGTTCTGGTATTCTGTTAACTGTACTCTAAGTAGAAATTTTTCATAAATTTTTTTGTTAAACGCCTGCCCCGTCATGTCCGCGGGCAAAAATTGCATCTCTGGGAAGGATCCACCAGATCCTGGTGTAGAGGACATTGAATTTACAGATAGGAATGACATAATTATACCTACAAATGCTTTGCATAATAATTCTCAGCTTAACTACTCAAATGTTAAAAACAGTATTGATACCAAAAACTTTCCATCAACTTCTCCTAAAACATATATTCAAAAAAGTCAGGTATTTAATTCATCTAATCGATTTAGTTCTAATGATAATGGTCCTTTTTTTATATTTGTTCAACAAATTAATATAAATAAAGGTCGTTTGCATTCAATGAAACTTGGAGAGAAACTACTTTCGTTATCTAATTATGATAAAAATATTATTGAAATTGTTAGTGTAGGTAAAAACCGTATTAAAATCCAAGTAGATTCAGGTGCTGGTGCTAATAAGTTAGTTACTGAAGATTTTTTTGAGAAAAATAATCTAATAGCATATATTCCAAATTATTTAACAGAAAAAAAAGGTCTCGTTTGTGGAGTGGATACTACTTTAAGTGAGAATGCACTGCTCAACACTATTAAGTCTAATATTCCTAATAAAAAAGTTTATAGAATGAGTAGATTAGTTCAAAATAATGGTACATCTGAAAGAGTTCCTAGACAAATGGTCATTATTAGCTTTGAGGGTAAATTAATTCCCCAATATACTTACTATAATAAAGTTAGATGTCCAGTTGAAATATATGTTAGTCCGGTTATGAAATGTTTTAATTGTCTTTGATATGGTCATTCAACCACCCAATGTAAGTCACAAAAAAGATGTAAAAAATGCGGCAATGAAGAAAAAAATGGTTGCCCTGATCAATGTATTGCATTTTGCGTTTATATTTCGTTTAAAGAAGCTGAAAAAGCTATTGAAAATCCAAGTTATTCCAGTTTAGTTCAAAAAAACAAATATCCACCCTTAACTACCTGTGACACCGATTTCCCTCTATTAAAAAGCTCTTCTGCTAAACCTTCGAATTCTAACACTGCTTACAAAAATAATAATACTCACAAGCATATATCCTCCCCTACAGTTACTCCCCCAAAAAAAGAAAAAATTGTGATACAACTCCTAATTTTCCTCCTATTCGTAGAGAATACCAGACCAGCTTCTGTTCAAGATCCATATTTCAGTTTGGAAACCCTGAACCTCCTAATGAAATCAATAAATTTATCAGTCAGCTCAGTGCTTCACTTAAAAATTTGATCCAACAAAGTATCCAGGATTATTGTAATTCTTCCTCAAATGTAGAATCTAATCTTAAAATTTACGAAATTGAATTAGAAAATAAAATTAAACATATTATAGGTAGTGTTTTCACATAACTTTAATGGCTTCCAAAAGCATTAAAATTATTCATTGGAATATTCGTTCGCTAAATGTAAAAAAATATTCCTTAAATCAATTACTTTTTGAAGAACGTTTTGACATAGCTCTTTTCTCAGAAACTTGGTCCAAACCATCTGATACTGTTTGCTTCAATAATTTCAATATAGTCAATAAAAGTAGAAGTCAGGGATATGGAGGAGTTGCCGTAATTTTAGCAAATAACATTATTTATGAGCCCATTTCATTCGTTAACAATTTCAATTCTAATCCCGAAGTTTGTGGTGTAAATAATAATATTGACTAAAAAATTTATTCTATTCTGAGTGTGTATCGTCCAGCAAAAGTTAAAGTAACAATGCAAGATTACGTTCTTCGTGACAATCTTTAATAGCTTTACCTTCGCCTCTTTTCTCGTGCTCAAACACAACAAACCAAAATAATACGAATACACGTCTTATCTCAATAACAGCAACAAAGCAACATTATTTTTTTATCGTATGACAATTAAAACACATTTAGAACAAAATTACAAACACTAGTAATATAGGTATATGACAAACTTTAAATAATTACAAACAAACATCAAGTGTATTAACATAATCAATTGACTCAGAAGTTGCAAACAGGAAGTCTTCAGGGCTACCGTTGTAGGATCTTGAGGGACACTTTTCAATAATGTGGTCGATCGTTTGGTTCTTCCCACAGTCACATTGTGAAGACGGATTCTTTCCCCATTTATGTAGCATATATGCACATCTGCCATGTCTGGTTCGGATCCTGTTTAGAGTGGACCATGTTTTACGTGGAAGATCAAAACCTGGTGGCTTATGGGTAATGCATGGCATGGTATTTTGCCATGCATTCCATTCTAGGGACCATGCATTCGTGATGTTGAACTCCTCATGTATCATTCTTGCCGTTTTCATTGGTGGTTCTCTAGAACGTAGACGGGTATTTCGTACATCCTCGGTATCTTGGTGGATCGGTAGGTTTAATTTGTTCATTATCTTTTTGTATTCACGTATAAGTGCGTCAACTCGTCGTTAATGTGGAGGTGTAATGTGACTTAATACTGGAAGCCATTGGGTGGGAGTTGATTTAATTGTACCAGCTATCATCCTCATAGTGCTGTGCAGCTGAGTGTCGACTTTTTTACGTGTGGACTGTGTAGCTAAGCTGAGGCACACTATTCAGCGGTCGAGAAAATAAGGGCTAAAGCAGTAGAGCAAAGAGTGAAAGACGATGCTCCCCAGGAGGTACCGCAGAGCTTCTGTATAATGTTATTTCTTGTACTCAACTTTTGAGCAGTTTTTGTTAAATGCTTTTTAAATGATAGCGTTCTGTCTAGTGTTACGCCCAGGTACTTCGGTGTTTTGTTGTGGGAAAGTGTGGTATTTTCAAACCGTATATTGAGTTCCTTTTCAGCAAGTTTATTGTTCAGGCGAGAGCAACTTACTTCTGTTTTGGATGCATTTGGTTGAAGCCGCCACTTGCGAAAATATTTGCTCAATATATATATATATATATATATATATATATATATATATATATATATATATATATATATATATATATATATAAAGTCTGCCGTCAGAACTTCTTCGGATGTTTCTAGTGTTCTGCATCGTGTAGTGAGGGCCCAGTCATCGGCGTATCCAAACTTTCTTGATAGTGTTTCTGGCATATCTGCTAAATATAAGCTAAATAGTAATGGAGAGAGCACTGACTCCTGTGGTAGGCCATTCTTAAGTTTCTTTGGTGGGCTGATATCTGTGCTCATCACTAATTAAATCATTCGGTCGTTGAGCATGCTATCTATTAAACGTGCTATTTGTTTACAAGGTATTGCACGGACAATTTTGTATATAAGGTCTCTCTTCATACTGTATCGTAAGCTGCCGAGAGAACAATAAATGCCGCTGAAGTTTTAAGTCTTCTTTGGAAACCCGTTTCGATGTAGGTGGTGAGTGACATTACCTGGTCCTTGCAGCTTCGTTCTGGTCGAAAACCCACTTGTTCGACTGGGATCACCTGGAACAGTTCTGTACTGATTCTATTATATATAAGCCTCTCTAATAATTTGTAGATAGCAACGAGAAGCGCAATTGGTCTGTAGTTTTTTGGGTTGTCAGCGGGTTTGCCTGGCTTTGGTATGGCTATTATCTTAGAGCGCTGTAGTTCTTGTGGGATATTTCCAGTTTCCATAATGTCTGTGAAAAATCGAGCCAACCTAACTTTTGTCTACTTGCCACAATTTAGTAGGAATTCGGGGTGAATATTATCAAATCCTGGTGTTTTTGCTGGCTTAACGTCTTTAAGAGCCTCTGATATGTCTTCGCTGGTGAAGGGGAGGGAATGCTCCAAAACAAAGCAATAATGACCATACAACGGAAAATTAAGCGACGTTGGCGCACGATCTCTGCGCTGCGGCTGGCGGAAAGCCTCCCCTGAGGGGATCTACCTTGTTTTGTTGCAAACTTTGAGACTTACCTGGTTTTTAAACCAACCTTGAATTTAACTAATTAATTCGAATAGGATGTACATTGTTTTAAACATTCTTACTTACTATAAAAATAAAATATGAATAAAATGGATGCACCACAATTTTTATTTATTTATTTTATTACAAACCATAATCTGTAATAAATAAATATATTTTTAAGCTTATTTCTTTTACAAAATTAATAAAACTTTAATATTTGCAGGACAATGACAGAAGTAATCCTCAGCATGTAGCTCTGATTGATTTCCAGGTAACCTGCCTTCATTCACCCATATTGGATATTTCATACTTTCTTTATATAAACCTATCAAGCGAAGATTTGCCACAATTCAAAGATTTTTTGGAATTTTATTACAACGAATTATCGTCTGTTTTAACAGAACTAGGCAGTGACGTAAAGAAATTGTTCCCAAAGAATATTATGCACGAACATTTAAAAAAATTTCTTCTTTATGGATTTTGTATATCGGTAGCGTTCTTGGAAATTATGTATGTCGATAATGAAGATGCACCCCCTCTGATTGACGAAGAGACGAATGAGTTAATGGGAGGTCTTAAAGACCTTAAAATAAAGTCAAGAGATGAATATTTAAGACGTCTTGTTTCTATAGTGGATAGTTTTTTTAATAGTGGATATATGTAATGTACGTTAATAACAGAATCACACGTAGTATATATCTATAGGACTAAAGTGACTTGTTTTAAACATGTTTTAATAAAACCAATTGTGACCATATCTTTTCTTTTCTAATTTTCCCTATTAAAAATGGACTTAAATTTCCAAACAACTTATTATAATAAAAATATTTTTCTTGTAGTGTAACGTTTTAATTTGCCTACTACATTGGGTATCACTTATAGGAACTGAGCAATTACTGGGCTGGAGATAGGACAAGCAAACAAACCGAAACAATTACGAATGGCCACTCTTGGTTTGGTTGGAGAGCTGGGTTATAAGTTAGTCAATAAAAGAAGGACTGGATGGGGTAACTACAAAAAAAGAAATCAAAAAATACTTACATAGATTTCCTGGGCAAAACAACACAAGAAGGTTCCTAAACTATTTATAAAGGACGTCGTTTACAAACATCATCTGGCTGGATAAAAAGAAAGCTATTCTTTTCAAAAAATATTAAAGAGTGAAAATCTTTCTAACCCTTAACTGGTGTGGTAAATATTTTGTGCATAAACGGCGTTCTGATGTTCCAGGGACCGGGTGTGTAACAATTAAAAACATGCATTGTTGAAAAATAAAAGCTAGTTTTTCATTTTTAGTATATTATGTTAACTATAGTTAACCATTGTATACAAAAACTTTTCGGGACAAAAAATTGTTTTAAAAATTTCTGTTAAAATATATTTTCTGAAAATGTTGCCATGAAAAAAACACAAGCAGACATTACTTGAAATAAATCATTAATAATAAGAAAAATTGATCGAAATTCATACATATACAAAATGTTGAATAATAAATGAACATAAAAATGCTACTTATGAAAAAAAAAAACCATATGAACTAAAAAACGTGCGCCCGTAATTTACGGGTCATTTTGCACTTCGCTTTCCACACAATCTAGGCAACATTTTTAAAAGACTCTAAACAAATAGGTCTTTTGCAAGAAAAACACAGATATGCAGCACCTCAAGACGAAGACAGAAGCCAGAGCAGGGAACATAATAGTAACATATGTTGGTATCACTACCGTTTTGGTGATAGTGCTCAAAAGTGTATACCTCCGTGCAAGCACCAGGAGAACTACACAGACAATCGGTAAGTGCGGCATCCGATCCAAGCCCAAAGTCTCGCCGCCTTTTCGTAACAGACTTTGAAACTAAAAAACAATTTTTAATCGACACCGGTACATATTTGTGCGTGTTTCCCAGAAAATATGTACGGGGCGCGTGCGAAAAGACCACATATGAACTATACGTGGCCAATAACAATGTGATCGCAACATACGGTTATGTTAACTTGACATCAAATATCGGATTAAGGCGTGATTTTATGTGGCGTTTCGTAGTGGCGGACATTTCAAAGCCTAATATAATAGCTAATTTTTTATCACATTTTGTTCTCCTAGTAGACATTGCTAACCAGTGCTTAATTGACAGTACTACAACTCTTCAAGGGATTCGTTAAAAGTTGTTTCAATAGCAGCATAAAGACAATCGCGGAAGTGTCGCGTTACTATATGCTGTTATCTCATTTTCCGAAAATCACGCGACCCGCTGGTATTTTAAAAGATATTTCACATCAAACTAAGCACAACATTGATACAACACCAGGTCCACCTGCTTTCTCTAAGCTTCGATGATTTGCACCTGACAGATTGCAATTGGCTAAAAAAGAATTCGAAAATCTTTTGCGACTAGGCATCATAATACCATCAAAAAGTAACTGATCTACACCACTACATATAATCCTGAAGAAAGGTGAGGAATAGAGACCCTGTGGAGATTATCGAAATCTAAACCAAAGGACTATTCCAGATCGATATCCAATTTTACACATCGAAGACTTCGGTCAGTCGCTAGCTGGTAAGATCATTATCACTACAATTGATTTAGTTAGATCATACAAACAGATACGAGTAGCCACCGAAGATATACCAAAAACCTTCGTTCCAACGTTTCATAGATGAAATTTTACGTGGTCTTGATTTTCCCTACGCCTATATCTCACTGCATCAGAATCCGAAGAGCAGCATATATCGCATTTAGAAGAAATTTTCAAAAGGCTTAAGCAATTTGGCGTTGTGATTAATCCAGCAAAGTGCCAGTTCGGTAAAAGCGAGACTACATTTTTAAGATATACAGTATCAGCACGAAGACTTTAACCTCCCCAAGAAAAAGTAGCAGCTGTACACTCATCCTAAAAAAAGTGAAAGACCTATGTAAATTTCTAGGTATGTTGAACTTCTACCGAAGGTTCATACACAATGCAGACAAGCTTCAAGCATTACTATATGATGCCCTTAAATGAAATGTTAAAAAAAAAGCAATAATTGAATGGACACCACAGCGGATCCGAGCATTTGAGGACTGCAAAAGTAGTTTATCTAACGCTACTTTACTGAGCCACCCCATTAACGATGTTGATATCTCCGTCACTTGTGATGCTTTCGATTTTTGTGCTGGACCTGTATTACAACAAAAAACGGATACAGGTATGAAACCTTTGGCTTTATTTTCAAAAAATTCTCATTTAGTAATAAGAAATATAGGGCGTACGACAGAGAATTATTGGCTATATATTTACATATAAAACATTTTAGACATATATGATCGAAGGCAATGACATAACCATATTATACACTGATCACAAACCAATTACCTTCACCTTTACACAGAAGCTAGAAAAATGCAGACCTAGACAATTTCAATATTTAGATTTTATGGAACAGTTTTGCACCAACATTCAGCACATCTTTGGATTAACAAATATTGTAGCAAACACTCGAGTCGATATCATCAAGAAACATATCGACATCACGGACTTAGCTCTCGCACAAGAAACAAATCCAGAACTAAAAACGCACTTAAGAGAGAAAACGACGTTGCAATTAAAGAAAATACGGTTTCCGGAACAGAACGTAGCAATTTTTAGCACCATGCATAATCTAGCACATCCTAGAATCAACAGTTCTGTGAAGATGATCACACAGCGATATGTTTGGCCTTCAATCAAATTAGATGTGAGAAATGGACTCGAGCGTGTGTAGAGTGCCAATCATAAAAAATATCGGGCCACATTGTTTCACCGACTGACAAGCTTTTCCAATGTCGAATTAAGAAGCAGTTACAGTAGCCAGAACATTTTTGTCTGGTTAGATAGATCGTTTTGGCACTCCCAAGCGTGGAACAAGGTCGACAATTCGAATCTCTTTCGATTCGACATCTCTTTAAATCACTTTGCAAATTAACTGGAACTCTCCATTTAAGAACAACCGGCTATCACCCTCAAGTAAATGGCATGGTGGAAAGATTTCATCGACAATTAAAAGCAGCAATTCGATGCCGTGAAAATATTCGATGGACCGAAAGTCTACCTTCAGTATTACTGGGCATACGAGCAGCGTGGAGAGAAGATTTAGGTACTTCAGCCGCCGAACTCGTTTATGGAGAACCATTGTGTTTGCCCGGTGAATTATTGTTTTCGTCGCAAAGAAACACCGACGACAGTGCTCACATTTATTTAAAGACACTTCGAAACCATTTCGAAAATCTCCGACCTAAGCAACCGCCGCAACATGGGTTCAAAAGCACTTTTATTTTCAAAAGAGATGAAAATCACCACTCACGTGTTTGTCCGCCGTGACATAATCAAAAACGGTTTAGATAACCCTTACCACGGATATTTTCCAGTAGTTAAACGAGTAGACAAAATATTTGTCGTCCGTGTTAACGAAAAATAAGTAACAATTCGGATCGATGGATTGAAACCTGCGTATGAGGCCAACGTAAATCAAGAACCAGAGAAAATAATGGTATTCAGAGAAACAAATACCTACAACAATATTAAAAACAGCAGACCCAAGCGACAAACGGGATTTACGGAAGCTATCAAGCAAGTATCAGATAATCAGTTATCGTTATCATTATCCATATTTCTCGAATGGAAGTTGTTGCGGCGACAAGCTAATTACGAATAATAATTAACCTTTGTATTCAAATATTAAATAAAACAATGTCATATTAAAATTTACATTTTCGCATTTGATTATACACATAAGAAATAGAAATGCGTTCCTCAATATATTGTATATACCCTTGTTATAAACCCTATAATAAAACTTTATCGTCTGGCTTTTAAAAATCAAAGAACGTGTGTTCTGAGTTTTGATTTGAGTTTTCAGGAATCTTTCGAGACACCGTTTGTTTCGGTCCGCGATACATTTACAAAAAATACCGTCCCTTCGAGAGTTAATTACGTATTACAAAATTAATATTATTAACAATTTTTACGTTTTATTCAATTTTACTAATTTTTTATTGTTTCCGTGGTAAAGAAGTTTATCACACATGCATTCACACAACCACGGAACAGTACGAATATAATATTTATTCTACCCTCTAAATTAACATTTATTTATTTAAATGTGGCTCACACCATGCAAACAAAGTAATCTGAAATTGTAGCGTTTACGCTACTGGCTAGTCCAATTTAAACCCCTCAAGAAATTTTTATTACCCGCCTACGATCGATTTTTAAATGGACATTTTTCCCCACACGCGTAGTAGTCGCTTAAAAAGTAAGGTTGGTCGAGTTGGTACGAGAACGATCAGTTTTGGTCAGAACTCGTCAACGCAGACACGCCAGCCGGTGAAATTTTTCACCTTCAAAGTGACGGAATTGGAACAGAAAAATAATTTGGGGAAGAATATAATTCATTAAAAATAATAATAAGTAAATTTTTTAAAATCAATATTTATGAGTTCCACATAAAAGGAAGATTTTTTTTGGCGTGTTGCAGTTCCATATTCCGTCACTTCACGTGAAAATATTAATTTCACTTCACTTGAGGATATTCTCTTCAGAATATTCCCTCAAGGACTAGTAACTAAATCCTTAAACAGTTAGCAACTCTCCTGGATTTTGCCGTCACTCCAGATAGACTAGTGCCTGGTTTGATTACATTAGCCTCTCCTGGGTTTGTCCTTACAGTCACAAACTGATGTAACCGTGCCAAGAGGAATTTTCCTATGGACTTATGGGCTGTAAAGATAAGTTGTTTGACTGTTTAGTTGTTTAACTATTTGACCTTTTGTATTACGTATTACTTTCTATTTACTGTTAACTTTACATATGCATATGATAA